TGATGATCTCATCAACTATGAGATCAACTATGAGACAGCAGAAAATACTTAATCTAATGAATTTTGTTGGATGTCAACATTTTTAAGGGAAGGGTAGGAATTTTGGAACATGGGGTGCATACTGAAATCCTCTGAAACTGGATCATGTGCTTTATAAATATTACTAACAATAAAACAAATATTAGTGAATGAACCTCTTCTCTTTCCAATGTCTTTTCATTTCCCACCCCTTGTATTGAGGGGAAATGGGTCTCTTTGTTTCTTGCAGTAATCACCAAGGGGAGAGCTGGCAACAGAGAAATGTATGGCCTGGATCATCCGGATCCTCTATACAGTACCTAACTGGGGCTTCTACTCAGCTACTGCTGCTAACAGGACATCTGTTCCCAGAGCTCCCTGTGCCCTTCACATGCACAGGTTCTTCAAATAATGATGTGGGGATCCCCAACAAAAGTACCAAGTCCCCACCCATTATTCAGTAATGAAATTGCCAATAGACAACTTGTCCTATAAAGAATATGTTTCAAATCAGCATTTTATTGCTGGAAAGGACCATTAAAAATGATCATATATTGGAGGATCGCTTTTGGCATCAAAGTCAGAGACCAAAACAGCAAATGTAAAGAGAACCTAACAGGAACAGATTTAAGGAAGCAAAAATTAAAAGAAATATGTCAATAAAATTGTTATTCATCTAGGAGAGATGAGATCTTACATCTATCAGAGCAGGGGACTAGAAAACAAATTAATAAACCACTAAAAAACAAACTAAAAAACAAGAAAAATAGGAAAATGTATGTAATCAAAAAGATCTCTTCACTTAGAAACAATAACATTCTGTAGACAAACCTTGTGCTTAGATCTTGGATTTTCTTTTCCTATTTTTTTTTTTTTTTTCCAGCTAGGTCATGTTGGCTTCACAACAGATCTTGGATTCTAATATCATTTTCCAATTAAAGGAAGCAAGGCTCCTTGGAGAAATGGATGATTCTAGGGCCGGGGTGGGAAAGATGCAAGATGAGCCTGGAGAAGCTTGTGGTGCAGCATATCTGTATTCCCAGCTACTCAGGAGGCTGAGGCAGGAGGATTGCTTGAGCCCAGGAGTTTGAGGTTATAGTGCTGTATGGTCGTGCCCATGAATACCCACTGCACTCCAACCTGGGCAATATAGCAAGGTCTCATCTCTAAACGATAAATAAATAAATAAAATAGAGTCTATTTAAAGTGAAAACACTTAGATATTACAAATATAAGCCAGGCACAGTGGCTCATGCCTGTAATCCCAGCACTTTGGGAGGCAAACCTTGTGCTCTGTAGACAAAAAAGAAAAAAAAAATCCAAGATCTGAGCATAAGCTTTGTCTACAATTATATATATGTGTATGTGTGTACGTATATATGTGTACATATGTGTGTCTACAATTATATACATGTACACACATATATACATATAATTGTAGACACATATACATATATACAATTGCAGCAATTAAAAATAGTAGAAACAATGGAGTGTTAAGTTGTAATAATTTCCCAGAGAGTAGATTAGAAAGGCAAATACTTAGAAGATAGGAGTGAAAGGATAGTAAAATTAGGAAGTCTGACCAGGAATTTCTACTGAAAAAAAGAAAGGAGCTGGAATTACGCCTGTAAAATAACAGACAAAATATTAAATGAGCTTTAATATTTTGTCTGTTATTGTCTGGGAGACTGAGGCAGGCAGATCACTTGAGCCCAAGAGTTTGAGACCAACCTGGCAACATGGAAAAACCCCGTCTCTACAAAAAATTAGCCTGGCTTCGAGGCGCATGCCTGTATTCCCAGCTACTCAGAAGGCTGAGGTGGGAGGATTGCTTGAACCCAGGAGATCGAGGAGGTAGTCAGTTACATTCCAACCTCAGTGACACAGTGAGACCCTGTCTCAAAAAAATAAATAAATAAAAATAAAACAAAGTAAAATAAAAACAAAAGAGAACAGGATGGAAATAGGAAAGAAAATATGAGGGCAAGAAGACAGGTGAGAAGACTAAAAAATACTTTTAAAGGGAAGAAAAAAAGGAAGAAGGAAAAAGAATGAAACAGTAATTATTGCAGAAATAATATAAGAAAGCATCCCAGAATTGAAGGCTTTGTGTTTTCGGATTACAGAGCTCAAAACACTAGGCAGAAAAATAAACAAGAAAGCTAAGATTTATTATGTTGAAATTTCAGACCACTGGAGATAAAGCGGTCCAAAAAGCATCCTGAGAAAGTAGAAGCGATACCTAAAGGGAAATTGGAATGTCATGGGACTTCTGAATAACTGCACCAAAAGCGGGGATACCTCTCTGGGAAGATCCAGCCAAACCTCCTGTCAGGGATTTATGCTCCATTCTCCCTTTTTCAGGAAGTTAATACAGAATATACTACATCAAAATAAAATGATGCAAGTAAGTAAATCCAGGAGGATAAACCACAGGATCTAAAAATTCCACATAAGTGAGTAAGCAGCACATTTCTCAGACCCATGGTGAGGAGAGTCCCAGGAAAACATCTGTTCAACAGGCTGAGAGAACGCAGGTGCAAACTGGAGCAAAAGGAGAAAAGGCTCCCGGAAGCATCTGGAGACCTCTAAAGAGCTGTCTCAAGGAAAAATAATGGAACTGAGTGATTATCTGTCAGATTTAACCATAAGGAATATTCTATCTAGTGCAAACGTATTCAACTCAAGAGTCAAAGAAGCGTCATTTAATATTTTGTCTGTTATTTTACTTTCTTCCTGAAAAGCTGGGTAATTTTCTAGCCTATCATATTACCATAAATAGAACTTTAATATGGATTTTGAAAAGCAAATCAATGTAAAACAGTTGTTAAGAATACAGACGCTGGCGTCAGCCAGTCTGGCTTTGTAACATGGATCTTGGCTTTATCTGCTATGTGATATTGGGCAAGTCACTTCCCTTCGTTGGGTCTCACTTGTCTCATCTCTAAAATAAGGACAGCAATAGCAGCTTCCTCAGAGTACCCGTAAAGCACTGAGTATGTTTGGTGACCTGACATCATTATGTTTGCCTCTCCGTGAGAATTCGTAAAGAGAGGACACAAGAAATGAGGAGATGAGAAGAGGGAGGATGGTCTGTAGGGGAATAGGGAAGGAGGAAGATACAAATTGGGAGGAAAATGATATAAAAATAGGTTTTATTAAGCAAGTCTTGCTGTATGTTATACACTATAATTCACCTCTTTCTGTTTTCTCAAAAAGCAATCCTCACTAAAGACCTACATTACTTTCCTTTTCTTTGCTTTGCTTTTTTTGAGATGAAGTCTCACTCTCTTGCCCAGGCTAGAGTGCAGTGGCGTGATCTTGGCCCACTGCAACCTCTGCCTCCCGGATTCAAGTGATTTTCTGGCCTCAGCCACCTGAGCAGCTGGAATTACAGGTATGTGCCATCACGCCCAGTTAATTTTTGTATTTTTAGTAGCAGTGGGGTTTCACCATGTTGGTCAGGCTGGTCTTGAACTCCTGACCTTGTGATCCACCCGCCTCGGCCTCCCAAAGTGCTGGGATTGCAGGCGTGAGCCACCGTGCCTGGCCAACTTTTATATATATATATATATATATATATATATATATATATATATTTTTTTTTTTTTTTTTTTTTTTTTCTGAGCAGAATTTATTGGTTTTTTTGGGGGTGGTGGTGGATGTGATACTGTACTAAGGTTGGTTTCTAGGTGGTTTAATCTTACTCTTATTACATATTTACCTTACAGGAGTCAGCAACTTCACCACAAAGGCTGTTGTGTTTAATAAGCATCTCCATTGCTTTGGCTATCTATCTGACACATAAGTAGTCATCAAAACAAAACAAGCCACGAGAACTTGAACAAAATGAAACAATAAGTGAAATTTATTTTAATAAAATTTTCAATTATAAAATTTTTAATTATAAAAGAATATTTAGACGTTAGGCTATTCTAACACCAATCACAGTAAGAAAGATGAAGATTACAAACCTTAACCCGCTTAGTACGGAATACTTACAAAACATAGAGCAGGGTTTCTTGGACTCGAACTCCTGAGGCCCGCCCCAGCCTCCCAAAGTGCTAGGATTACAGGCGTGAGCCACCGCGCCTGGCATAGAGCAGGATTTCTCAGCCTGTACACTGTTGTCATCTTGGGGCGGATAAATCCTTGTTGTGGGGCGTTGGTCTGGTGACTAGTAGGGGTTTGGCCTCCAACCACCAGCTGCCCCCGCCGCCACCCCC